AGAAATCATTTACCTACCAATCTGTTATAATGAATACTTAATGAAGCAAATACATCATCCACAACATATTTTCAAAAAAAAAAAAAAAATTAAAGGATCTCTCACAGCATATTTTAATTCTTTAAATTTTACTTTTCAACTATTTTTAAATTAATACATTGTATTATATTTTATGTTTCTACTATTTTTATATTTCGAACTTTACTTATACATTTGCAGGTTTTTGGATGTTGTTGCTTCTCGAAATTATCGATTTGAATAGTATTTACAGCAATTTCTTTATCTATAAAAATGAGGTTCTTGATTTAACAAATCTGCGTTTTATCTAAGAACGTTTTGCTTATGCATTTAATATCTGAAAACTTTTAATTAAATTTTCAGTCTAGTTCATATAGTAAATACAATTATTTTTGTTGGAATTTTCTTCAAAATGATTTTGAAAATTAGCCTTAATATATTGTTTATATTAGCGTATATCAGTAATTTATCTCAGACACTTTGCATTTCGTTGTATAACCAGAAATCGAAATAATAAATTATCAAAATTTAATGCATTATTTTATTTTGTAAACTTTCCACAACTGCCGATTGAAACATTGTATTTTTTCAAATTATCGATCATTACTTTATTAAACAACCTCAAATCTAAAGCACTAATGTTAAAAATGTATTTGTAAAGCGAAGTTGCCAATTCGTTAACAAAATTTAAGATTTTTTTTTATTATTAAAATAAAATTCATAAAATCCAATCTGAAGTAAGATAAACAACAGCTTGTGCAATGTTCATATTATGTAGTATATGTAATATAAGACATTAAAATACACTAACACTTGAACAAATTTGGAAAATCTACGGGCCTAACACTGACAACTCTGCCAGGCTGCCTACCTGGGGGGTCGATTCTCGACTTTTATTCCCATGGGAAAATAAAATTTTCCCATGGGAATTCAGTTTTCGTATTCTCGATATAAGCGGTGGAATATTTTCCAATGAGAAGTATGGGAAAATATTCCCCTGCTTACGAGCATTGGAAATTGTGTTTTCCAATGGGAATTGTACTAGAGTTTGCGCAAGTCGAAAATTTGACGAAAGACCACGCGAAAGTCTAAGACATAACCAAAGATTATTGGATATCTTGGATTTGTGAAATTGTAGTTAAAACATTTTTTTGGCGTATTTATAGATTGATATTATTTTATTTATGTAGGTATATTATTTTTAATTCTGTATAAACTGATTTTCCTAAATCATTTAGAAATTGTGGGAGCTGCTATAAGGGACTGGCAAATAACACAAATTGAGTGTAGTAAATTTAATAAGACCTTTTCGAAAATGTTATTATTTTCGTTAATGAAATAATTTCTTAGTTTCTCAAAACTTTCGTTGCTCTTCCATACAAAAGCTACCTTTTCTTTTTTCAACATGAGAAAAGAAAAACTAAGAATAACTTGACAAGTTTTAATTATTATAGGTAATCGAATATTTTCACTTGTTTCTCGATCATGATAGCGATTGCTCGGCAGGTAATCGGATACCCAAAAACCACAACAAATACAAATAATACCAACAGTAAATTTTAAAATATCTTTAATGTTATTGGTTGTTTCGAAATATTCGTGGACTTAATATCAGACATACGTGAAACTACTATTTCCATGGGAATGTCTATTCTGACACGTTCGAGAATTGCATAACCTATTACTATGGGAATATTTTCCCATGGGAAAATTTTCCAATGATCTCGAGAATCGAGCCCCTGCTGAAAGGCTATTCGCTTAAATTATTTTTTAAGTTTCATCCAGAGGTTTCCACTCTTTTGTTTCATATAGACCACTTTCAAAATTTTGCTGGATCCGGTGGATGATCTTCCAGCTTTGATGGTTTCATAGTCATTGCTCAAAACTTTGTTGCATAAAAGGCATGTGGGCAATTGTTTGTCTGCCTTTGATGGAAGAAAAACAAATTTTAAATATTCAACACTGTACTGACGACCAGTGGCGGCTCGTGAGGGGGTTCACAGTGACAGAATATAGGTATCAGTACAGATATATAAAAAAAATTGTGTTTTAGAAAGTTAATAACATACCTTTCTAAAACACTGACAGTTTTTTACCTATATCTGTACCGGGATCTATATTCTGCTACTGTGAACCCCCAAAATTTTAGTTACGAGCCGCCCCTGCTGACATTTCTTAGATTCGGCCAAGTTTTGTATCAATTACCTACCTGTAAATGTGTAAGTAAATAAATAAAAAAATAAAAATAAAGTGGGACGATAAGTTCAATCTTTCTGGACTTAAAACTATATGCATAAATAGGCAGGTAGGTACTTACTTTTCCGACACTGGCATCACTTTTCTTTTCGAAAGTTTGGAAACAAATTCAGTCACTGGCCAACCCTTATATCGATTCACTTTTTATGAAATTCCAGAAACAAATAAGTAATGATTATCCTTGACATTCGTATTTATATTGATGAAGAATCAAACACGTTCATGCAAGATTGCAAGCACATACACAAGTCGTATTAATTTGCACGTCTGAACAAGCTTTGCGGACGGGACGGCGCGGCAACGACAAGTCTCGACGCGTTGTACTGAATATGAAATATGCAAGTTTTTACAAGTAACAGTCGCTGAGCTTCTTAAAATATCTGCCTATACTAAGTCAACATTTTACTAACTAAAATGTTGAATGTTATAAACAGTTGAAGTTTTTTACAAGAATTTCTTCATCACGTGGAAAAATGAGTAATCAATTGTTTAATAGTATATTGCTTCACTATCGAAACCAAATTAATTTTCATGCACCCTCATTTTTTATTACGCCCAACGTAGACCCCCGTCCCGTGGACCCCAGCAGGGTTATTCTACTAAGGAACTATAAAAGAGACTATAAGTTTAGCATACTAAACATGTAGACTCTAAATTATAGTCCAGCCATATTCTACTAGTCTTAGAAATAGTCCGACTATAAATTTAATAGGGCTACAACTACAGTACTAGAAAATTAGTCTGTGAGGTTTGGCAACGTTGTGTTCTAAGAACATCAAGAAGAATAATTATATGATTTTGCTTATAGCACATAAATGTTTAGTCTAAATGCTTTTCAAAAAAGAAGAATGAATAATTCCCATTCAATACTTCATTAGACTTTGTGTTTACTACCAGTGTTTTGCTATTTTATTATTAGATTTTTATGATTAAAAATGGATCAGAAACGACAGAGATGTACAGAAATTCAATTAAACCACTTAGTAGACTACGTGTCTGATCATAAACAATTTGCGACAGGAAAGTTTGTTGGCATACAAGGGAAAAAAATTCAAGGGGAAATGTGGGTAAAATTATCAGATAACTTGAATGAAATGGGTCCCCAAAAAAGCGTTGAACAGTGGAAAACAATTGTTAAATTTTAAATTATCTGTTGTTTTCTGAAGATTTTTCTATTTAAGTTTGTTCCACTTTAATTTTGCCGTTTTATAATTGTCCGATAAATATTCACAACTCTCACATCAAATTCCAATAAAATGAAAAAATCAGGATATGTGTACACTTCTAGCATACTTTTAAATTTAATAGGCACCTTATTTGGTGCTTATAAGAATAGACTACAGTATAGTCCTCATATGCAGACTATAAGGGGTGCTAGAAGCTTAATAGAATACGAAAAAGCTATGACTCCACTTTGAAGTTAGGAACATATAAAGTTCAAGCCAAAATCCAACTTGTAGCCGGGCTATAAATTTAGTAGAATAACCCTGCTGGTGGTCCACCTGCAGGGTTATTCTACTAAGGAACTATAAAAGAGACTATAAGTTTAGCATACTAAACATGTAGACTCTAAATTATAGTCCAGCCATATTCTACTAGTCTTAGAAATAGTCCGACTATAAATTTAATAGGGCTACAACTACAGTACTAGAAAATTAGTCTGTGAAGTTTGGCAACGTTGTGTTCTAAGAACATCAAGAAGAATAATTATATGATTTTGCTTATAGCACATAGATGTTTAGTCTAAATGCTTTTCAAAAAAGAAGAATGAATAATTCCCATTCAATACTTCATTAGACTTTGTGTTTACTACCAGTGTTTTGCTATTTTATTATTAGATTTTTATGATTAAAAATGGATCAGAAACGACAGAGATGTACAGAAATTCAATTAAACCACTTAGTAGACTACGTGTCTGATCATAAAAAATTTGCGACAGGAAAGTTTGTTGGCATACAAGGGAAAAAAATTCAAGGGGAAATGTGGGTAAAATTATCAGATAACTTGAATGAAATGGGTCCCCAAAAAAGCGTTGAACAGTGGAAAACAATTGTTAAATTTTAAATTATCTGTTGTTTTCTGAAGATTTTTCTATTTAAGTTTGTTCCACTTTAATTTTGCCGTTTTATAATTGTCCGATAAATATTCACAACTCTCACATCAAATTCCAATAAAATGAAAAAATCAGGATATGTGTACACTTCTAGCATACTTTTAAATTTAATAGGCACCTTATTTGGTGCTTATAAGAATAGACTACAGTATAGTCCTCATATGCAGACTATAAGGGGTGCTAGAAGCTTAATAGAATACGAAAAAGCTATGACTCCACTTTGAAGTTAGGAACATATAAAGTTCAAGCCAAAATCCAACTTGTAGCCGGGCTATAAATTTAGTAGAATAACCCTGCTGAACCACTTTGGGAAATACTGATTGTAGCCGATAGCTGTAGCCGTAAAACGAAACGCGAGTAAATCGTTTAGAACATTCGCTTCGCCGGTATTCCCCTTTACCGCGCATTCTTTTGGTTCGGGACTAGGATTTGGCTTCTGTGTCTGCACCCCTTCAATCCATAAATTAATTTTTTTAATTACTACCCACAATATTTAAATAAAATGAAATGCCATTTCACAACTAGTTTCACAGTTTCAAGTATTTCAACTTCCGGTGCTAAACACGTGCTTTTCAGTCTCCTGCAAAAAATAGGAAAATAAAACAATACATATCATATTATAGAAATATTTATTTTCGAATTAAAGTAGGTAGGTTAAACCATGTTACATAATATGAAAATATGTATAAAAAGAATGGAAATTGCAAAAAACAAGTTACTAACCCTTTTCACTAAGAATTAAAATACATATTGGAGTGCTTACTAATAATTTTTAGATTACCCTAAAAAAATATTTACAAATTGTATTCATTCGCCCCCACCTTGTCGTAAAATACCGAAAAGCGGCTAGCTAAATTTATTTCATAGGGATAGTGATTTTTTTCCTTTGTCTTAACTGTTTTAACGTCACGAACAAACTTTACACACGTCAATACTTAAAGAAACAACATAAAAGGTATTTCCATCTAAATATAAAGGCTAAGTATTTACATTTTTTACCACTGTAAGGTACACACACGAATTAAGAGTTAAAAAAATAAGAACCTCAAGCAATAAGGACATAAAATTTGTGAAAACTCAACACTAATTATAATTTACAAATACTTCTAATAGTCGAGGCAAGTCTTCGAAACGGATAGATATTAAGAGACCCTTAGAGGCGTACGTTTACAAATGAGATCAGTTTAAAAAAAAATCGATGACGTTAACGCCGATTAAATGCGATTGTTTTAATTGCTCTATCTAAGCAATAAAACTTATATTTATATGCTTTGAAAGTTTTTTTCCCTCATTTTATCGCTATATGACAGCCTTGTCGCTCTAGAGCGGCAAAGTTGTCACTTAATTTTGACAAAAGTATATATCTGTATATATGGGGTAAGAATTCGGCAGACATCTTGGAAAATCGATGTTAAACATTTATGAAGCTGTGTAAGTTAGTTAGCTGATCGGGGAAGTAAAGGAGTCTCTATTAGCGGACTTTTTGTGAGATGTAAATTTAAACCAGTTGTTGCAAAATCGCGACAGACATTATTAATCATATTCGCCCGATATGGGTTTTTAAAGGGCATCACGTTTTGTTGACGGGGAAAAGGTGATACTGCAACATAGAAGCCAATTTTTTTATATTTCCAGAAGATTCATTCAAATGTATAGTCAAAACGGCATAAACATTTTATAAATTTGATTATTATAAAAAATAACTTTAAAAAATGGTAATAACAAATTCTGAGACTCCTGTAAATCTCTTTTTATGATGGTTTTATGTCCGCTTAGATACTTTAAATCAATGTTGTCAAATTAGATTTACTTATATCGTCGATCTTATATCCGATTCCCGCTAAAACTGTTCTCCAAACATAAAAAAAAAGAATCATTGCAGAGATCTTCCGGTAAAACAATCGCACCTAAATCGCTTGCAGAACTATTAGAAATATCGTATTTTTTTTTTCCTTCTAAAAATACACTAAATGATCAGTTTATCTTTTTTGGGCCGCGGCCGCCGCTGCTGCTTGATGTTGCGCCACCTGCTGGTGCTGGGCATACTGCTTGGCGTACTGTGCCCACGCTTCCTGGGTACTGTACGCCTGGGCGTACTGGCCCTGCGTTTGAGCTTGGCCCGTCGAGTAACCGGACTGAGTCGGCTGTTGTTGCTGCTGCTGCCCCTATTTGAAAAATGGCTTCTTCTTTAAACAATGATTTTACTCTTTTTTGTTTTGCAAGGAAAAATTATCAGAATCAATATTGAATGTTTTTGTTTCGGTTAACTTTTTTTTAGTTTTCATAGCGCTTACATTACATTGTCTCGAAGTTGTTTGCAGTAAGGCTGGATTACTTCTGTAAAATAAAAAAACAATCTATTACCACACCTAAGAGTTTAAATTAATATTGTAATGTTTTATCCATATTCTTAGACATTTTCATATAAATTTCAAGGCCATTCAAAATACTCGTTTTGTCAAGTTGAGACATAAAAACAAGTTATTTGATAAGATTCAAATTATAGGTTCTTTCGTTCGCTCCTTGTGCACCAGTGTCAATTACACCACCTTACTTTCTCCTTATTCCTTATACACATGTTGAGTGTAATGCACTCCTGCTAAATAGGTGGTAGAAAAAATATCCACCAGTGGACACCACATCGCCAACAGGAAGTGGATTTTACACTGGGCCAAACAAAAGGTATAGTGCCCGTTGGTGTAGTTCATTCCTACACCAGTGGGACAAACGAAAAAACCTTTTAATATTGTTCCTAGTACAAACAATAGAAGGTAAATTAGTTTGTGTGTTATATTTCAATTTTAAGTAATTTTATAGGAATCAATTGATCTTTAAAAAAAGAAACGTTATGCCTAATTTGCAAAACAATGATGATGCTTCTTGGTATATTTGCAAAAATGTAACAATATTTTTTTTATTACTAATTTGATTGATGTTAAGTGGACATTGTAAAAATATTGAGATATATTTATAATATAAAAATACCAAATATATATTATAAAAAAAAATCCATCGACAGATTTTGAACAATCTAAAGTAAAAAAAAAATCCTTATTTGATTAATAATTATTAGTATTCAAAACTAAAAGTCGTTTGAGATATTAATGCCATTCGAATGAATTAAAATATAAATTTTCTGTTTTCCATAAATTTAATACTATACTATTTTTAAACTAGGAGGAGTGAATTGAAAAGTCGCATTTATACATGGAAAAGTTACTAAACAAGTAACTACATCATATCGGGTCGGTGGTGTAGCGGTCTCACACGCGCTTATATTCATTTATAGGCAAGTTTATGGTCAGAGACAGACGGGCTTCGAATCCTAGACCAGACCATGTGGATTTTTAATTAAATTGCATGATTCGATATAGGATCTGATGTGTGCCGTATTAATAGAAATTCAATTTCTGTTGATATGACATGCAGATTATAAAAAATCGCCATGCATTACCGTCTCGATGATGGTGGGTGAGGTTTTCCGGGTTTTCCTCACCTGTAAGTCAAATGGCACAATCAATCATCTTTAAGTGACCCCGGAGCGCCACGGCAAATAATAATAATAGCCGTCCCTTTCCCCACACAAGCTCAGCTTTTGGGGTTAAAATTCACTCGTAAAGAGGTGAATTAGGTAGAGTATTATTATTATTATCATTTTAGCGGAAAATTTGAATCTGAATACAAAAACTTGTAAATAAAAGAAGAAAAAAATAGTATTGAAAATAGAGGATATACAATGAATAAGAACCACAAATTATGGAAAAATTCAGATGGGAATGAATGACACTATAGTTTTAATTATAGAAATTAATTATATGATACTGATCCTTAGTATATCATTCATTGTATCGAATTTGAATGCCTTGCTATTTTTCTTATCAATCAGATTGTTTTTATTTTAACAAGTTTATGGATTAGGATCTATATTTTAAAAACTAACAATTTATCATAAAACTAAAAAAAAAAAGATAATTAAATTGATTCGACCTGTTTTTAGTTCGCTAGATAAGAGATATTATTTTGGATCTTCACGTATCAGGGTCCTAGATTACGAAAAATATGTTTCCCCCATTCTGTCTGTCTGTTGGCATGATAGCTCAAAATCGGCTTTAGAAAAAACTTCAAATTTTGGATACAAGTAAGGTTCCTTTCTGACTCAAAACTAGTTATACTTCCGGACAATTACATACAGAGGGAGCAGTTTAAAAACAAATATTTATTTTTTAAAGTCTGCAGATTTCGAGTAAAATTGGTATTCGAGACTTTCAGTTTTTAAAAATTCAAAATGGCGTATTTAATCAAAAAAGGTCCCCTTGAATGAAAAAAATAAAAAGCGTCCTTTTGATTTGTATAACTAGACCATTTTAAAAGTTCAATAATGGTGAACATGACAAAGAACATCGAGCGGACGCGAAGTAAGAGTTTGGTGGGATCAAGAGGAAGATCCATGTAGAGAGGAAGGTGGAAAACGGTCTTTGGTTTGGTGGTTTTAATTGAATCGGTGAGTGAAAGAACAATACATATCCAAAATGACCATTTTGAGAAAAACAAAAAAAACTATTTTAAAGGAGAACTATGGGTTATTCGGCCTAATTATGTATTGTGAAGTTATAGAATTTTTGTTAACCGATAATAATATGTACATAAATTTAAAAATAAAATTATGCAAAATATGATATTTGAAAAAAATGACTTGCAGTTATACTATTCTTTCACTCAATTTAAAAAAAATGCTTTAATTTTTTTTGTAGCTTTATTATTATTTAACAAACTTATTTGTAATTTTTTAATCAGAATCTTCATTTTTGACTTTCCAAGAAATAATATATGGTAGTAAAACTCTAGGATTTCATCACTAAAGTAGAATAAAAGTATCTTTATATTGGTTATCTTCTTTACGTTAATAGGGACAACTTCTGAGTATGCCTTTTCTAATGGCGAGCATACACGTAACGGTCTACCGGAGAAGCCTACCTGTGCAGGTCGGCCTTATGTCGTAACGTGCATGTCTACCTGTGCAGGCACACCTGCACAGACAGACCGTAGCGTGTATGCCCGCCATAAAGGTAACTGCAGATTGGCATTAGGTTTGATATCAGTCTAATGCGCCCCACACATAAAAGTGTGCGAGAGAAAACCGCCTATGAAGGCACTTGTAGTAACATATCCAGAAGTTTTACCAGTGTATGTAAACTGGCTGTACTGTGGAATGACAAAATTAGCTTTTTGTTCATCAGCTGATTTAGAGGTTTTTTTTGAAAATGCGACCACCAGTTTTTGAAATCTGTGTTAAATTTGTCTACGAAACGACATGGCTACTGAGTGAAAAAACAGTACATACGCCGTACTTGTACTGTTCTTTCACTCAACCGAAAATTGAACAAGCCCCCATCGCTCGTATGATGTTGGCCTGTGTATTATTCTTTCGCTATGTGATAGGCCTATGAATTTTAAACAATTTGCCTATCTCAGTTAAAATTACCGTTTTTGGCACTTGTACTGTTCTTTCACTCACCGATTCAATTTTTTTTTTGAATTGATAAAAAGTTCTTAGTAGTTCTCTGTATTTACAATTTCTATATTGAGGGAAGTTGGGTAAAATACATGACTCCGATTTTTTAGAACTACGATATGAAGTTTTGGCCATTATAATGACTACATCATCAATAATAGATAATTAAAAAGAATAAAAAACACAAAATAGACAAACTAATATTTAATATTTTTTTAAAGTTATCGACCGCGATTTGTCAAATGTCATTATTAGATATTTTGGTCTATGTGAACTTGCTTGTCAAATAGAAATAACGTTGGCGCGGAAAATTCAAATTGCTCCTCCTAATTTAGAAGCAGACCATAGTGATGGTTCTTTTTTGGAAAAGTAATTCTTGAACATGTTAGAACAAGTAGTGAAAAGTAGTCGAACTTGAAAAGAATTATAAAGGTGTAAACTTATATTTTATTTGGTTCAGATAAAATTTCTTGACGTTTATGCTCTAATGATTTTAAAGTTTGGATTTAAATTTATTTCTTCATGTTTCTGTTTTAAAGAGATATGTTACGAAAATTCGCAAATCTCAAATATTTAGAAAACCGTTAAGACATATAAAATGACAGTATTGTCAGTAGTAATTTGTTGCTTCTTCTTTAAACCATATTTTACCTTTGATTATAAGAAATTTGACCAAATTATTAAATTTCATGTATTAAAAAGTTTTGTTCAGTCATGTCCATTTTTCAGACTATTCAGTACAATTAGAAACAACAACATTACTATCAATTAACAACCCAGAATAGTACTAGCTGGGTCATTTCACTAGTAATAAGACTTTTTTAAAACTACTTCATGATTTCCAAATTATTTTCATCCTCCCCTCCCGTAGATGCATTATAGTAATAGTAAATTAATTTAATAAAAAATAAAAATTAGTTTAATCTTGATCCTTTGCGTAAAAGGATCTTATTTTTTTAAATAACTCAAAATTGATTCTGATAATACAAATTAATGATTTTCCAAAAAACAAGAGAGTGGAGGTGCGTTTTGTATATTCAATCTATTTACCTGTCCGCTCCAATTTTGCTGCTGCTGCTGCCCATAGTAGTTCCAATTGTTGTATCCGTAACCACCCTGACCTTGTCCGCCGCCTCCGGAGCCCGACGAACCGTATTTGCCGCCCCAACCGCCTTGACCGCCGCTTTGACCTCCCCAGCCTCCTTGGCCGTAGTTTCTACTACCGCCGCCGCCACCACCACTGAAGGTCTGTTGGTTCCAGCCTCCGCCGCCGCTCCCTTGACCGCTCCAACCTCCTCCGCTGCTTCCGCCCCATCTCTGACCGCCTCCATGCGGTCTGGACTGTTGTTGGCTGCGGCCGCCGTAGCTGCCTTGGCTATAGTAGTCTCTGTCCCTTCTCTCGTAACCGCCGCCGCTACTACTGCCGCCACCTGCGAAAGAGCGAATTTAAATTTTATAATTCGCGTTGGTTGGCAAGAACAACGACGCAACTAAAAATAGCCGATTTTACAGTTTTTAAATTTATTTATTGCATATGTCAAAATGTAGTTTATTTAATCTTGGGTTAATGAAATTATAATACATAATAGTACTAAAATCTATAAATATTTACTGAAAAAATCCAAAAAAATGACTTGTCATTCTTGTCGAAATTTAAAATAATTGTGCGTCACGAAAAAGAAAATAAAATACTATTAAAAAAAAAAATAATGAAGACTAAATTATACTTTTAAAACAAAAGACGAAGATAAGTCTTTAAAATACGACAATAGTCTTGGTATAATGTAAACAGCGTTTTTGTATATCGAGCAATGACAAAGACGGTGCAACTAAAACGAGCCCATAGTCGTAATACACATTAGACTTCGCACTCTTGCTTCAAAAAATTTTTTTTTATTAAAATTGTTTTAACTGTGTAATTTTTAAAACTTTGATGTAAGGTTGTTTACTTATCCAAATTAGGGTGTTAAATCAAAAGATATAAATTTTGAGTCTCAAATAAATATCTGTTTAGCGAACGTTGGCCAGAATTCGACATTCTTTTAAATAATTTTTTTTTGTTAAGAGTATTGTTACTAGTCATTACTGACTAACCTACAATTTTAATCTAAAAATCTTACAAACTAATTAAATATAAATGATTTATGTTTATTCTGTATACTTTTGAATTGCGTCGGTATTGTATAAAATATCACTTATTTAACACAAAATAAAGAACACGATCAAACTTACTTCTCCAATCGCGTGACCTCGTATCTTGTTTCCAGCCACCACCGCTACCGCCTCCTCCTTGTCTAGGGGCTCCGCCCCATCTGTTTTGCGGATAAGGCTGGCGATTGTAACCGCCTCCCCCTTGTCTTTGGAAATTTCTTCCGCCGCGATAATCGTTTCCTTAAAAGAAAAATGAAAACACAATAAACACCAAGTACAGAAATAAATCCATTTAATACAATATGGAAGTGTTTTAACATGGTACTTTTCATGAAAAGTAATGTTTGGACTAGTCCGACGGACATGCCCGGAAAAATAGTAAAAAGTAATGAAGTCACAAAGAAAAGTAGTCGACCTTTGGCCTAGAAGCCTGCACGTTTTTTCAAAAATACTTTAGGAACAATATTTGCATTTGTATTTTCGTTTTCTTAGGAAAATTATTTATTAAATAATTCCAACTTTTGGATTTTTTGATCATTTTTCCACATGTTTATTAATAAGACATGAAATGAAAATTCGAAAACATCATTAAAACATATAAAAGTCGCTTCTTCTTTTTTAAACTAAATTTTACCTTTATTTGTAAGAAATTCAGACAAGAAAACATCGTTAAAACATAAAAGTCAGTAATCATTTGTCGTTTCCTCTTTTTTAAACTAAATTTTACTTTGTAAAAAATTCAGACAAATTAGTTAATTTAATTTCGCGCAAGCGTAATACACTTTACTACTTTTGAAAAGTGTTTGGACTAGTCAACTTTTCAGACTAGTCCGTCGGACTTTTCCAAGCGACCCAGCACTAGTTTTAACACCCCAGAAGGCCTCTCTAGTGAAACAGGAAAAGACAATTGATGAATAAATAAAGGAAGACAAATATTTTGTAGAAATCATTACAAAGTGTACATACACTTATTTAATTAACTGTAATTTAAATGGGCGGACATTTTTTCTATTGAAGCTGTTATAATCGGGAACAATTTATTTCAGCCAAACGATTTTTTTTATTGTGCATGAGCATTAAACATGTATATATCGGCAGTTGGTTTCAAAATGTATTTTATAAACATACACGAAATAAGAAAAATTTTAGAGTTTATAAGGCCACGAAAAAATGTAAACAAAATTCAGTGTTTTTTAAAGATGTACAGTACAGGCTTTTAATAATTTGAAGATATTAAATGTTCTTCAAACGCAGCAATATTTAAAAGAAAACTGCGTGAGTACTTGCTGACCAACTGACGTTTTTTTTTGTTCTTTTATTATGTTTCGTACAGTTGACATGTAAGTGTACTGTATCTTATGTTGTATTTTAAATGTATGTTGATTCTATACTTATGAATTTTTTATATTTTAAATGTGAAGATGTATTGACATGTAAAAAATATTTTTTTTTTTTGACTAATTAAACGATTTATATATACTATGTGGATTTAGGCGTAATTCTACGTATTTTGGTCAATAAAACCAAATTTCGACGTCTTAGTCTCCACTTATTTTGCGACCAAATTTATTACATATATTTTAGGTAGTCTCGACGTCAAATTAAACCAAAATGTTTGCTGGGCTGTTATGTCGGTGGATGTGGAAAGAAGCTTTTCAATTCATAAATACATGTATTCAGATAGAAAACAAAAATGTTTGGTTACAAATTTTGAAAAAAAAATTATTTAGTGATTTATTGTTCTAACATGCAGTTTTAATAAATTTATCTAATTTTTTGTAGTTTTAATTGTGCCGTATCTACCTAAAAATATTGAATACACGTTTTTTTGCACATATTGAGTTTTTTTACATATTTTAGACTCGAATCATGCATATTTATGAGCACAAACTCGACTTTTTTTAAGTCTAATCATGACTGTTCCGTCTCTGTATATTGAGATTGACAAAAGAGCTTCCCAATTCGTCTTATTAACTCTAGTAATGCTGACTTAATTCGCATATCTATAGATTATTAAAACATACTGGCTAACCGACCGCCGGGGGTGCTTGCATTTGTTGAAAAGAAAACCGTCTTCCGGCGGCATATGGTCTTTTTCATACAGGAAAGCCGCCGCAAATCTAAACTGATTTGTTGATCAGGGCGGCATGCTATCAGTCAATTGAAAAATGCCGCCGGACGACGGTCTACTGTATTTAAAACATTGAATGCCGGTGGTAAGAAAAAATACTTGTAAAATCGTCTACATTTTTGTGGCAAATGATCATAATATGTCGTACGCGTTTTATTTGTACAGCGGTCTTCTTTTGACAGAGTGGATGAGCTGTGTCGAGGCCGTTGGTGTTTATGCCGGTCACCGTAGCCAGGTATGGATTGAAATTTTATCGTGGTGGCGAAGCCGCCACCCTACGAGAAGTCGTTACTTCGTCTTCTTGTTGTCACGGCATTATTATTATTATTTGTTCATGTATGTGAAATTTGCTTCTAAGGTTTATAAAATACTATGCTAGTCACGGCATAAATGAAAACAAACAAGTGGCATTCACGCAAACACCTCCCACCACAGCAATTACAAATGATTAGTGTTGTCCACGATACACGAGTTTTTTCCGACGGCATTTAATGTTTCAAATACAGTAGACCGTCGTCCGGCGGCCTTATCAATACTCTGATAGCCTGCCGCCTTCATCAACAAATCAGTTTAGATTTTCGGCGGCTTTCTTATATGTGAGAAGACCATGCCGCCGGAAGACGGTTTTCGTTTTATTAAATACAACTACCGCCGGCGGTCGGCTAGCCAGTACGTTATTAAAAATACAAAAAAGCATGATATTTGTCCACATAATACACTTCTTACTTATTTAACATATATAAACTTATTTTATTTCAAAAAGTTATTGAGTTTTAACTACATTTCTGAATTTTTAAGTAGCAAGCACACGTGATACAAAATAACGACTACTTCAGTTCTCCCAACTCAACAACTAAAGATTTTTTCATCCCAATTATGCTAAATAAATATATTAAACATAAAATATTCAAATAATACTCACTTCTGTTGTAGTTCCATCGGTCCTTGGAGAATCTCCTTTCCGATCCGTATCCAGCCGCCTTTCCGGCAGCATTGTATGTTTTGATGATCTCTTTAGCTTCCTCTTCGGTCGCGCCCACGTAAACGATTTCTTCTAGCCAATCGCCCACTTCGGGTAAGACCATGGCGGCTAAAATTTAATTTCGGAATAACCAAAACAGTCCCCTTTGGTACTGTACCGATTTTTAATCATTTTGATGCATCCCTTTTGTTTAATTTCGAATAAATACAATTTAAATAAAGCACTAGTGATATTTAACTTTATTGATTCATTATATGCTACTGGTGGAATCGTTGTTATGGTGATATTTTATTTATTGTTGTGTATAAAAAAATATTGTAGTATTATTCTTTCATTGTAGTAAAGATAAAACTAAAGAGCTCTATTTTAAAATACATATTAACTTATAAAGACAAACAGTTACACTCTAAGGATTGTGTCAACTCCTAGTTTTAAATATAGCTCAACACAGATTTACTGGGGAAAATTAAGTCTTTCTAACTATGCCATCAGTAAGATATTTTTTTACCACTGGATGCCTTCATAACTATATACTACAGTCTAGTCTTTGGCCATCTCATCTAAAACGTTGTTTAAACGGGGAAATAGAGCATTCATATCTCAAAGATGAATTATTTGTGATTTAAATTATATTTTTTATATTTTTAAATTATCTGATTTTAACATATCCTTGCATTTTTATTTGTAAATGTTTCATTATATATTCATGGCAAAAGAAAGCACTCAGTTATCATAACTACCTAATAAGAAATATCGAAAAAATGCAAGACAAAACTACTTAAATGTTTATGTCTATTGTTTGTTCGTCTTTTTTATTACTTTTTAATTTCAGCAACTTTATCAGTGTTTAAAGTGATTTTAAACTGTAAACTCGTCCTATACTTTTTTATGTCTAACAGGTTGAATAATTATTAATAATTATATTTGGGTTTGAAAAACAGGCTACAAGTTACTATAATAATTATAATTAGCAATTAATTTCGTTCTACTAACTTTTTTTTTTTTTCGTAAAAAATTATTTCTATTTAATTACCAAATGCTAATGAAATTGGTAAGTGGTTATAAATGTTTTTGAATTTCTCAACATGATCCTGTATATTTTTGAATTAAATTATTACCATTATATTCCATCTAATTTACTTTGTAAAAGATCCTCGTTGGATTTATTTTTATTAAAATTTTCAAAATTTTGTCTTGTTCAACCGACAATACCTTAGTTATTTCATATGAATAACAGAACGCATCAAAATAATTAAAAACCTTTAATATGATTTACTATTTAATAATTTTGACTGATTTAACCAAAATCATTTTGAGTTTCTGATTCGTTATAAAAGCATTTCTAAATTACTAGAATACTTAGCATTTCACGTTTACCAGTAAAAATGAGAGAAAAATAGAAGAAAATGCAACAGAATGAATGAATAGGAATGAACAATTTTTATAAACAAAAAGAGCAATCTAAGATATTTGAGGAGCTTGATGTCGATATATTTTACAAATGTTTTTTGTTGAAATTATTTCTGAAAACATCTATGTCGCGTTTTTCGAAAAACCTATAAAAATGTTTATCTTACCTTCTACTGTCATTTATAATAAAAGATCCAGTAGATTATATTATCTTAGTACCATATTCTAATTCGACGAAATACATGATCCTAGATAAAATTAAAATGGAAAAAAACAACGAAAAATTATATGGATTGATGAATAGAAAATGAAAAGTTTCAATCGAAAATAAACTAGAAAACGACCTAATATTTAAATTGTTTTTCTTAACAAGGATACACAATTAATAAATATTTGAATTATACAGGGTGATCCAAACATAAAAATTTATATCAAAGGTATGTTTTTTTTAAATGGAACATTCAATATTTGATGGTGTCTTGGTTTCGCGGAAAAAAATAAGTAAAGTTTCCATAACGTTTCATATACATAATATGTATTATCTCTTTTCGTTTCTGAAATTTTTAAAGGATTCTTAATTTGTAAGCTTAAATAACATAACCTAATATGTCGTGGTTATTTAAATAAAGTCAACAATCACCTGTAGCCAATATATTAGTATTAGACTATCAAATAAAATGCAAATATTCCCATTACATCATGTTTTTAGTCTAATTGAATTCGACATATACAGTTGAATAATTTTCCTATTTTAAATGACACACCATGTATTTAATAACTTTAACTGATAGACCTTTAAATTATCTTTTATTCCCGATACCTCAATTTAGCGGTTCTTTAGTAATGTTTTTTTTTTTTTAACATACCAATTTTTTTGTAAACTCTTTTCCGTCAAAGTAACCATTAAATTTAAATGTCAAATGCGGGTTTGACATTTCTATTCAGTAGGTAAGTTAGTTATCAAACGTATTGTCGTGAAATTCTTAAAGCCTACCCTGTGTACGCGCGCGACCTTCACATGGCAACCGACTCGTGATCGAAGCAACGCTGACGTGTGAAAACAGACCGCGTCTCGAATATACAAGAAACGACGGAATGCCTGCCGCTGATGCACTAGAAACAGCTGGAACGGCGGGGAGTGCCGTTTAGTCATAGAAGTGGAATGTTCGAGAGCCTCTGGTATCTTCCAGTAGCGGAGTTGGACTAATATAAATAGCCGACGTATCGGCGCCCAGTTAGTTGTTATAGACAGTTTAATATAGAACATTGTATTGAAAATTTAAAGTGTAAGAAATAAATTAGAATTGTTAGTTAGTGTCTAAGTATTATATAAATTAAATAGTACGTCTGAAATAAATTGTAAATAGTGTTTTTAAATAAATAAACTAAAAATAATTTAGACTATCGTTACAGTATTTAAATTCGATTTTTTTGATACACGAAAACTAAATTCTAAAGCAAAGAGAAGTGATATGGTGTGTGTTCTTGGTGGATGTCATGAAAACTGTTTATTAGCATCTAGAGCAGCCATACTCAACCTGCGGCCCTCCAAGCTGTTTTGTGCGGCCCTCCAAGCTGTTTTGTGCGGCCCTCCAAGCTGTTTTGTGCGGCCCTCCAAGCTGTTTGGTGCAGCCCTCCAACTTTTTTTTGTGCGGCCCTCCGACATTTTTTGTGCAGCCCCAAACATCCTTTTTTGGTAAACAAATTGTCCGACTTTTCAGAGCTTATTAAAACAACATGAGGACTTGTTTTGCTTTTTTGCTTATTTTGGTTTTTTGGGTTTTTTTTGTTGGTTTTTTTTGTTGGTTTTTTTTTTGCTTATTTTTAGAAAGTATGTGAACTAAAACAATATGAAGACTTTTTTTAGAAATTTATTTAAGCGGATCCCTATCGTCACCATTGTCCTCTATTTATACACTTCAAAAAGGTGGCAGGTTTAGTTATCACCCAAAAATATTGTGGCCCGTAGCATAACGAACAGATTTATGTTGCCCGAAAGAAAAAAAGGTTGAGTACAGCTGATCTAGAGTTTACACTCAAAAATACCCGGATCGAGAAAAATGTTTCATAATAATGAACTCGTTAATCACCATAACTTTAATTATTGTTTCCGTTCCAGATATTTGGAAGATCTCAAAAGTATGTCAAGTTTTCAAAAAAAAAAAAATAAATATATATATATAAACAATTACAGACCAATATCTATCTATAATATGCAATTTCTCCAAAATATTTGAAATTTTATTGGAGGAGACTTTATATCATTATGTTAGTAAAATGCTATCAGTCAATCAACATGGGTTTATGAAAGATCGCTCAACAGTCACACAATACATTGCTGAATCTATTGATGAGCGCACCTAAAGCATTTGACAGACTTGACCACGGTATACTTTTTAGAAAACTTACAGGGTTTGGGTTGTCCCCCCCTTTGATAAATCTCTTTCAGTGCTATTTAGTAACTCGTACTCAGTTTATACAGCTTAATAGGTTTAAGTCTGTCAAATTTGCAACAAAATCTGGAGTTCCTCTTGGTTCCATTCTGGGCCCGTTACTATTTAATATTTTCATCAATGATATCTCGAGTGTAATTAAAGAGCAGTTTCTACTTTATGAAAACGATTTAAAATTATACAACCTGGTGGTCCTTGAATGAGTGGGGAGGAAAAATAGAGTTACATCTTTTTGGTCCTAATTTTTAATTTAATTTTTTAACTTAATAGCAGAAAATGTTTAAGACTTTTGTGTAGAAAATTATCTGGGCTCCTTGATGGTGTACCTTTGAATACTAGGCAGAAAATGTGTATACAGTTGGATGAAGGCCTCACATTTTCTACTTCAAGAAAAAAAATACTAAAACCGGAGTTTTGTTAATAACTGGATCTGAAGAGGTGGTCTACATAATTGACCTCCAATCTCTAAACTTGACGTCGTTGAATTTCGATTTATAGGGACACACACCAAGTATGGTTTATAACTAAAGCTAGTATTATAGAGAAATTCCCTTTTTTTGTCTATTTTTCATATCCTAGATGTTTTTTTGCACATTTTGCATTTTTTTCCCGTAAATTCTGCCTTTTTGTGGCTTTTTTGAAATTTTATGCTACCTACTCTTGATATTATTGTTACTAATTACTAAACCTTTCTATAATAAAATTTGTGATTGTTAATGTGTTTTAAATAACCACAACATACTAGGTTATGTTAATCAAGCTCACAAAATAAGAATCCTTTAAACATTTCAAAAACGAAAACATATCAGAAACTTTACTTTATTTTTTCCATGGAATCAAAAAGACACCATCAAATACACTATTAAAAAAGCATAACTTCGATATACATTTTTATTTTTGGATCACCCTGTATAATATAAATTATTTTTAATTTGTAGTGTTAATGGCCCTGTATACCCTTTAACATTTTTTTTTATTAAGCCATTTTCCCTGCACGTAGGATGCAGCACACCCTGTATAAACAAGAACTGAAATTAATATGACTCACGGCATAGATGAAAAGTTCAAGAGGACCAAACCATTTGAATTAGAGATGTGAAATTGTGTAAAGGTAGAGCACAGTGAGCATGTGCAGAGAAGTTTCAAAGTATGAATATTGGAATAGAAAGAAGAAACAAATGTGTGAACTCTTAGGTTTGAAACGCCTTAAGTTTTCTTAAGTAAATAATAAAGACAAATTCCAAAAGTATGGAAAGTAATCAACAGTGTAATGCTCAGTATTCAAAGAAAATCATTCAAAATTTTTTTTAATATTAAGAGAAAAAAATTGATTACTTATGAGTTGATCATAATACTTTAAGCAAATTAGAATTCAGCAATCATAACTCATAAATAACAATTTTATGAATATACAGAAATAATAAATTAATATATTTAGAAGATTACCCTCTTAAAAAAATACATAGAAAAAAAATATATATGAAAATTCTAGCAATTAATTTTTTAAGAGAGTAACATACTGATATCAAATGAGCTGAAAGTGTTTAAAATTAAAAAAAAAGTCGCCCCTATGTATATATAAACTGTTTTTTTTTTGTTATATACTAAAATATAGAAATTGAATTGTGTGTATCTATTCAACACAAATATACCTTTCATTTCAAGTAAAGTACTATCAGGGACCTCTTTACCCTCCGTAGCCTCTTGCAAAGCTTGCCGTCTGGCCTGTTCTTCCTCTCCATTAACAACTATCACCGCCTTTCTCTTGAAGCCCTCGAATGGCCGCATTTTACGGCGTTGGGCTGATGGGAACACGTTTGTCTGCCACAATTTCTCAGTATTATAATAACGTTTTTTTCAATGTAACATTTTTCTTTTTAAAATAAAAAACTAAATACCAGTTAACAAAGAGATTTCGTTTGTTAATTTTACGTTCGGGTTTAAATAATCCAGAGTTACACTGTAAAATGGATACAAATTCAGAATGAGAAGTATTTTTTTTAATACATAATTCTATTTTCGCAATATTTATTTTGATCGTCTTATATTTCATCAAATTTGTTTATAACTTCATTTTCTAGATATTCGTAAATAGTATCAACATCTGCCTGGGAACGAAAGTTGTAGTCATAAACATGTTTTATTATTGTATAACTTCAGTCAGTTTTTCTAAATAATTTAAAGTACATTTTGAAAAATTCGTTGTAGTTTTGCCAGAAAACGAAGATTTGGGTAAGGGTAACAGAAAAATTTATATTAATAATAATTATCATTTATTTCTAAAGCACATTTATATCTCAGTCCCGAAAGTTTGTAAACTGGCGCCATTCAACAAATCATTTTGTCTTATGTAGTTTGTTGATATGTTCAGCGATATGTTAAACAAAAATACAAAAAAAAATAGATTTGTATATATAAAAAAAATGTTTACACTATTTTCACTTTTCAATTGAAACAAGTAATTTCGATTTTATTTTTTACAAATGTCGTTTTTAACTCATTTTAGGCTAAAGTAAAGGCGCTGCATTTACCGAAATCGTCTGTTTGGCAATCATGCATTCATGTAAGATTTGATTGTCGGAAATCTAACTTACCAACCATCATAGTATTGTCTCTATATGAAACAAAAAGAGAAAGCTAGTTATATATAGCATTAACTGAAAACGCGAAACAGGGCAATATATTCTATTCTACTGTCACTAGAGATTGTGCTTTATGTCGGCTGGAACGGGTAAATATGAGTAGTCTTTTTTTATTTATAACTTATTTGAAAATATATGAGAACATACAAGCTGTAGTAGTAACACTGCAAAAAGAGTTAAGTGGTCTAATATATTTTGAGATATATGTACAATGATAAAAAATGCTTCAGCGTGTGCTTTTCCAACTTTTAAAGTTTCAAATTTATAAAAGTTTTTATAAGTGCAGTTTTTAAGGTTTTAAAAGAAAAGTTGGGAATCGAAAAATCAAAGCCAATGGGTCGCAAAAAATAGTTTTAAAAGATATATAAAATATGTAATTTGATGAAAAATATCCTCATTTTATTTTTGAAATAAATCAAAAAAATCGGGACTGAATTACAAAACGATAGTTTATCAAAAATGTTGCGTTCTTGTGAAAATTTAGAGGACACTGGTATTCATCACCTTAATTACAAAACAGTAGTGCAGTGCTTGTCTAGGTGAAAAACTAAGCTAATCATCACACCATTTTATATAACGCAGATCTGTGAATTAGCTGTTAAATAATTCGTCCATAGTGATGAATGGAACACAACCCATTTTTTTGGTATATTCTTCCATTTGGCCTTTTCACACAAATTCTGACCAGATTTTTTAACGCCGTGGAGCAATATAAAAACAGAGTACAGACGGTCCTTATATTTGTTCATGAAAACTTAATACAAAAGATTTTTCCACTTTTTAATGTCATAGCTTGTACAGTCAAGTTTAACACATTTAGTCATGCTTTTTCCGAAAAACAATAGAGAAAAAGTACTGATCTGGATACAAAGCCAAAATATTCAAATTTACAAAAGGTTTTGACAACTTTTTAACTATGACATGGTTTTTAAGATTACCACTTTTTTTAATGGCATATCACATATTATTCAACCTCAACCTCATTGACTCAACTCCAAAGATATCGAGCGCCTTGTTTAGTTTACATTAAGTTTGTCTGCAACATAATGGGCATGTTTAGAGTAAACGAATTTAACAAATCTAATGCTATTAACTGTTTAAGCACAAAAAACTTTTTTTTCATGCAATAAATACTTTAAATAGATAAATAATAAAGTTATAGTACTTTAAAAAGTTCACTTTTAAATCAATTATTTAAAACGCTCTATTTTTGCGCCATTTACCGCGTCATAATGAAGCACTATTTCTATTGGTCACTAAAGAATCAGTGATGCCAACACATACAGGAGTGCGTTTAGAAATCCCGCACGGCGCGTCTGACCACATGCATTAGAATAGGGCCCAGACGCGCCGTGCGGGGTTTCTAAACGCACTCCAGTTAATCGTTATCTTTTTCTAATAGAGACATTTATGATAGTTTTCTTTTTCTAAATTCGGATTAAAATTATGTTTTCTTTTCTCATGTCAAGATAACAACATTTCTAACCTCAAATCCATTGTGAGAAACATTAAAATTGATTTTAAAAAGTGTGATAAAATAAACATTTGTTTAATTTTGCGTTACATTGAAAATATATGATTATATTTTCAAGTACTTGGTCCCTATGAGAATAAAAAAAAAACATCTGATAAGATGTTAATAAAAGTTCCTCAAATTCTAGACATTCAAAAACGATAATGGGCTAAGGGTTGTTGCAAAACACAAACTACCATCGTGTTTTTATATTTATTTTGATGTAAGTAAAGATGATATTCTTGAATTGTTGTTTCCAAATTGATCAACTAATAGGTCAATATACCTACCTTTTTACTTAACACCACTGAACTATATACTGTAACAGTTACAGTTCAGTACTTAACACTGAGTCTGAGGGTCCTAATTAGTTTGCATTATTTTTTAGGTGGAAGAAGATGCAGAAAACTGGATCCATTTCAAAATTAAGGGTAAAAATTTGACAATAAAAGAAGATGTGCCTTATACCATATAGGTACAAAAACTTAATTTATTAAACTTATGTTTTAAATATTATGTTCATATACGTTTCTATTATTATATACAAACTCCACAGAAGTAAATACCTCGACGATACCTATAAAGTAAACTGTCAGTGTCTTACCATAAATAAACCTTTTTAAAAGACTCGATTACCTGTAATAGGCAATTGATAAATAAATACAAAGAAAACGACAAAACTTATTTTTATTTGAATTCATTATAAATATATATCACTTCCAAAAAATACAAGCCCTAACCAATATATGTTCGGCCTTTTTATAATTTTATTTACGTTATATATTAGGAAACTTAAGGTTGAAGACGATCTATTTTTTAAAAATTACTTAAATTTAATAGTTGTTGATGTTTCTACTATTTGTGAGAGCATGACGCACCACGATCTTAATTTTTTTTAAAAATAGTATCTAATTGAAAGATAAATGACCAATTAAATGTTCGAACAATATCCTCCGCAATTATTAAATGTAATTTTTGGGAGGCTTTGGAATTTTTGACGTTTAAATTTTTTTACGTGTTTGACGCACATAAATATTTTGTTGACTTTGGAATTTTTGACGTTAAGAATTTTTTAAGTGTTTGACGCACACAATGAAACACTAACTTATTTTGTGGTTTGACGTTTTAAGTTGTTGAAAGTGTGACGGTATCTTTGTGACAGTTTCTAACGTAATTTATTCGTTATTGAAAATGGGTCGCGGTAAAGCAACTCCAAAAAAAATTAGGAATTTGATCATAAACAAATATAAACACAAACATAAGTCTCCTAATAAATATCTGAAATAAAATTATGAAAAGGCCGAACATATAGTGGTTATGGCTCGTATTTCCTGGCTTCATATCATTTAGTTCTTGTTCATCAAAAATAAACTTCTAATATTTCAACTTCCTTATTTATTTCAAAATTTGAAGAATCCACACAAAAAAGCCCATTATGTTTCTTAGATAGCAACATTTGCAGTTGAATATGAAAATATAATTTTCTGGTTACTTTGTACTCGATATATATCTATTCACTATTATTTATAAAAATCCCACATTTAATGTTTTTAATTCGAAAAAGAATCGACACCTTCAAATCCTTAGAACTTCAAACTTTTGACAACAGTGACCTTTTCTTATAACACAATATGGATTTGATGGAAGGTTATTTACTTCGATGGTGTTCAGAAGCCACAACAATTCTTCTTTTAATAGTTTGTACTTTGGCTATTTAAAAAAAAAAATTAAATAACAATTTTAAAATAAATCAAAATAATCTCAGCTCGAAATTGAAAACGAGGTTAGGATTTAGATTTTAGTTAGAATGACAAATGAAACCACGTTGCCAGACTTAGAGAAAATATTTCGCGATATCGCGATTATGATTTCAATAAAATTTCGATTAAGAAGAAAGTTTATAAAAACGGAATTTAAACAAATATTGTTTTAGTTTTAAATTATACGATCTTAACCTTTAAATTGTTATCCTTAATTTCAATAATTCTTTACAAGAAGAAGCGGCAACAAGGTAAAAACATATCGACTCTGGCTGCCAATCAGATTTTAGGCTTCATTATGACGATGTTTAAAAATCATAGTGGCGGGCGTTTTAAATTTGCTTAAATTTTTTGGAATATTAAAAAATTCTTGTAGAAAAATTTGAAAAGAAAAAAAATTTCACAAAAATATTTTTGAATTTCACTAAACACGCCCAATTCAAATAATGTATACATGATTATTAAATAAAGATGTGACCTAAACCTCATTATTACAAATTTATTGAAATCTCCCAATCTCAAATAATTTTTGTAACAAATGTATAGAAAATTATCATATCAAATTCACTGGTTGGTCATGTACATTTCAACAATTGTTTATGCCTCCGGCTATACCCGCTATACCTTATCTGAAATACCGACGTGAGCGTAGGACAATGCCAACGTGAAGTACAAATTATTTCATTAAAAATCTTCGGTTTATCTTTCCCTAAACTTTGCAGGTCTTACGGCCGACCAATTGAGTATTCCTCTTAATGTATTGTTAAATGCATTTTCTTATAATGTATTTAAGTGTATATTATTTTATTTTTTTATAGTTCCTGTTCATAAATATATTTAAGTTTTTTTTTATTATAAATGCATTACTATATA